TACTTTTACGTCTATGATCCATTTTGAATTATTTTTTTATATATGGTGTAAGGAAGGGGTCCAATTATATATTCTTGCATGTGGAGAAAACCACATGTTAAAGATATGTTAAAGAGTTTTCATTAAACCATATTTGCTCAATGGAGTGTGACCATATGCCATGCATACACACATAAAGTTATTCAGTCATTCATTCAGCAAATATAGGCATCGAGAATAATGTTTTGAGATATGAAGTGATGGTTTTTATTCCTTTATTTTTCCCTTTCCTTCCCAACATTCAAACAGGTAGCAGGTTCTGGGTTTCCTTGCCTAGGAGATGTTTATAGCCAGGTGGCTTCCTGGATTTTGTTCTCCCAAACACCCAAATTCTGGGAGCACAGATTGGCAGGGCAACTGACTAGTTATATAGTCCAGAAGGACAAGGAAAAACTGGGTTTCCACCCTCTTCCAGACTAGATCGGGAGTCCCAGGAGACGAAAGGAGAAGGAGGAGGGGAGAAGAGGGTATGAGAGAGCAAGGACCTACACAGGGTTTCCCAGACATGCTGCTGAGAGGAATGGTGGTGGATGCATCTATATCACACCCCAGGGATGGCAGGAGGCAGTAAAGAGTCACCAAACCGCAATGGCATATCACAGGAACACCGTGGCAACAACCGAGCAAAGATCCGATGGGATTTCTGCACCGCCCCCCCACGCATGCCCCATCCTGAATGACCCACGCCCTGTGCAACTCGGACCCTGGCCTGGAATTACAGTACATCCTGAAGAAGCAGGCAGCCATGAGGAAACCCAACAACTAACGCTATATTTTCTTAGCACCAGCAGGTTTCTAGAAAACAATTGTATTTCTTGCACCCTTAATTTTATGGACTGATGTTCATTCATACCTGCCACACAAAGCCTGAGAGCCTACTAGGGACAGGCATCCTGCTAGGCTAAGTTGGGGGTGGGGCGGGTGGGGAACAGAAAAGTCAATCAAACCATGGTTAGCCAAGGTGTTTATAGTCTGGAAAGAGCAAATATGCATAATCATAGCCACCATTTGTTACACGCCACCTGTGTGCCAGTGTGCATGCCTCATGCTCTACTCTTTGTGAATGGCTCTCATTTAATTGAGACACCCCCCTCTTCCCTCTGGGCACCCTCTTCCTTACAATGGGCTTTTTTTTGAGATCCTTACAATGGCTCTCATTTAATTGAGACACCCCCTTCTCCCCTCTGGGCACCTTCTTCCTTACAATGGGCTTTTGATATTCAGGGGTTCAGAGTAGTCCAGGGCTTCCCCAAGGGTGCAGAGCTAGAAACCCTTGGGATTTAGATGTGAACCACAGTACACCTTGCTCCAAAGCCCATTTTCACTGTCAAAGTTGTGACTCTCACACACTGAGTGATCAATATGAGTGTTGTCCTTTGATAATGCAATATCCATTGGGCTTAGACTTTGGCTCATTCTTTCCAAGAGTTGGGATGGAGTTAAATGAAAACAACCTTCTCTAATTTGGTGTTTAATGTACCTATTGGTGGATGACTTGCCAGAAATCTGAAGATGAACAGGAGACATTGGCCAAACAGGTCCCCATGGTTTTGGGACCTATGGCTTTGTCTGAATTTGCCCAGGTGTGCCAACGAGTTCCTCTAAATAGTCAGAATTTCCAGTACCATTCACAATGTCTCCATGTGCATCAAATACATGACATAACTCACGGGGGAGGGGAGAGGTCAGGAAATGCCAACTCTTCTATGTGCAAAAGAAAGAATTTGGTTATAAGTAAAATGGAAAATTTTTTATAGGGAAAAATCTCATAGAGCTGTTTTACTTAGAGATGCAGTCATGCAATATGGTACCTAAAAAGTATTTAAAATTCTTGCCTGAAGCTTCTTAGAAAGAGTAAAAGGAAAATAAGTTGACTCTGGCCAATGAAATGTTAATGGTTTTTCCTGAAGTATTAATCTACTGAACAAATGTTGAGAATGAAAGAAGCACATATATAAAGGCTAGGAAAGAGCCAAGATTTATATATTTTCTACTGTTGCTTCTGATATTTGAGCCTGGGCAAATGACTTAACCAAATCTCAAGTCCCGAAGAGAACCATATTGAAGCACAGATGGAAATAGAAAACACATGGATATTTCAATTACAAGAGATATCTCTTATTTCTTGTCCTTTTTCTGAAGAACAAATCTCTCCCCATTTGGGGTCTATAACCATTTAACGTCCATTTTCTCATCTACGAACTTAATTTCAGAGCCCAGGACTCTCAGAAATCATTTGGTCCAATGTCTCATTTTGTAAATGGGAACATTTGAGATTCCAAGAGGTTATAGTGACTTGCCGAATGTCATGTGCTCAATTAGAACACATAATATTAAGATTTCCATTAAGTGGGAAGGTACTGACCTAGGAGTGGGAGAAGCTGGATTCTATTTACCCATTAATGAGCCCTTCTGCTTGTGGTTGGATCGGTTTGAAAAATCCTTCCCTCTTTGAAGGGGCTACAATTCTGTGCATGTGAGAGCACCAGTAGTTTGTCGGCTTGTCATTCTTGCAAACTCAGTAGCTTTCTTTGCAGTTATGATGTGGCCATGACAATGACTACATTAGACAACACACCTTGAGTGTTTAGCACGACAGTGCTTGGCACATAGCAAGTGCTCGGTAAACGAAGGCTGCCGTCAGTATTGACATAAAGCAACCAGAGCTGGTGTCTCCAAGCAGGTCTATAAGAAGGCATTCCCTCCTCTGGGCAGATGCAGCCCAAGTGCCAAGGCCCACATCAAGACAGGATGGTTGTGGGTCTGACTTTAAACACAAAAATAAAAGAAAGCATTTTCTAGCCAGCCTTGCTGATAGTGACAGCCAATGATATGTTGAAGTGTTTGTCAAAATGTAGGCCTTCTAGAAAGCTCTTGGGGGGGGGGCGGCCTACTTAGATAGGTTGGCAAGGATATTTTTGCTCTTTCCCTCTTTGCCTTCTTTCTGTCTGGAATGCAAAAGCAATGGCTGGGGTGTCAGCAGCTTACTATGATCATGAGGAAAGGGTGGGGGGTAAAGGACTTTCAGGGATTTAGTCCTTCAGCCACTGTATCAACGGCCTCCAGACTTCTTGTTTCATAAGGAAAATAAACTCATGCACATTGTTATTAAAGTGCAGTTCCTAACCCATACACTCTCAAAAATCAATTGCACTTTTCTCTGAACATACATTTGTAGGTCTTCGCTTGCCCCTGGCCAGGAACTTAGGGCTCCTAAGTTAGGTGCTTATTAGCAGTCACTTAGATTTTTTTTTTTTTTGCCTCAAGGGCCTTGCTACTCAAAGTGTGGTCCGAGGACCAGAGGTAGGCATTAATACCGGCGTAGGAGCTTATTAGAAATGCAGAATCTCCAGCCCTGGTTCCAACCTACTGCATCAGAATCTGCATTTTTACCAGAATTCCCAGTGCTTTCCATTATATATATATATATATATTTTTTTTTTTTTTTTGAGACAGAGTCTCGCTTTGTTGTCCAGGCTAGAGTGAGTGCCATGGCGTCAGCCTAGCTCACAGCAACCTCAAACTCCTGGGCTCAAGAGATCCTCCTGCCTCAGCCTCCCGAGTAGCTGGGACTACAGGCATGCGCCACCATGCCCGGCTAATTTTTTATATATATATCAGTTGGCCAATTAATTTCTTTCTATTTATAGTAGAGACGGGGTCTCACTCTTGCTCAGGCTGGTTTTGAACTCCTGACCTTGAGCAATCTGCCCGCCTCGGCCTCCCAAGAGCTAGGATTACAGGCATGAGCCACAGCGCCCGGCCTCCATTATATATTAAAGTTTGAGGCTCTGGACTAGACTTCCAGGATGTGCCCTGCCACCCTTCTTAAACACTGCGGTCAGAATCACCTTACTGAGGCACGGATAGTCACATCACTCTCCTTCCCAAAAACATTCCAGGGCTCCTGCCTGCCTGCAGACTAAGGTTTAGACTCCTTCGCCTGACAAGCAAGGTCTGCTGTGATCTTGTGTTGTCCTGGATATGCCCATCAACGTGTCAGGCTTGCAAGTAACAGGTAGGCAATAAGTAATTTTCTGCACACACACAGAGAAATGAGTTCACCTGAGAAACGACACATTCCTCAATCCTGGCTTTCTCACGGTAGGCATTGGGAATACAGTGAGACCCAAAAGCAGGCGCAGTGGCTGGCTTGCCTTCAAAGAACTTAGAGACTAGTTAGGACAGGACCTTTAAAAAGAAATAAAAACTATATAATGACGAAGTATAAGGGCTAAGAAGGGAATGAACAGAGGGCAGGGATACAGAGTAAGACAGGCAAGGATTCTCCAGGAATAGGGAACCTGCCGTGGAGTGAGTCCAGGCAGAGGGAAGAGCACGTGCCAGGCGAGCCCTCCGGTGTGTCTGAGAATCAGAACAGGGGCTGCTTTTTCAGGCTCGCCCAGAAAATAAATAAATAAATAAGTAAATATATCTCCTGGGAGGAAGGTGGCACCTTCCAAGTACACCTTGCAAGTCACTTAAGAGGAAACGCTGAATTTCTTTTCCCTGGTACGTGTCTTCGCTGGGATCGCCGGTGAGTTAGAGAGCAGGGTGTGCCACAGAGTCGCTGGGGTCCAGCCCTGGGAATCAGGCCAAGCAGAATTCGAACCCAGCTCCGCCACTTCCCGGCTCTCAACTCCCTCGCTGTCCTAGCCTGAGCTTCCTCGGGCAAGAAGTCGGGTGGGGACAGCACCAACTTTGGCCTTACTGCGGAGGCAAATGCTGCTTGCAAAGCTCCCGGCACCGCGCCAGCGGCCCCGGGCTCACCTGAGTACCAGCGGTTTTAGGGTGGCCGTGATGATGACTGCCACCGTCAATCACTGTCGGCTTTCGGGCAGAAGGCTCGCGCCCCATATTCCTGCCCCCCTGCGGCCTCCCGACCCCGCCACGCCAGGCAACCACCCCCGCGCACAGCCACCGTGACCCCGGCGCGGGCGCCGCCGCGGGACCCCCGTTACCTGGGGCCAAACGCGACTTGTCGCCGCCTTGCGTCCTGGGCCCAGCCTCCCTCCCGGCCGCCTCCCGAGCCCGCAGCTGGCGCGGCGGCGGCGCCCCCAGCCCAGCCGGCCCGGGCGGTGCGGGATGCCGCGGCGGCGCCGCGCGCTCCGGCGGAGGGAGGCTCCGGGCGGCGCGGCGGCGCCGGCGGGGGCAGAGCCAGGAGGCGCGGCGGCGGCGGCGAAGGCGGAGGAGGAGGAAGAGGAGGAGGAGGAGGAGGCGGAGGAGGAGGATGCGGGGGGCTGCGGGCGGCGGCGCGGCCCTGTCCGCAGTGAAGCCCGCGGCGCCCGGGGCGCAGGGAGTGGCCGTCGCCTCCCGCGCGCACCATTCCTGAGATGGCGGCGGCGGCGGCGCGGCGCGGGGCGCGGAGCGGCGGGCGGCGGCTGAGACCGGCGCCGAGCTCGCGGGCCTGCGGCGCGGCCGGCGGGAGCGGGCGGCGGCCTGGGCGCGTGGCCTGCACGAGCGGCGCGCGTGCGGGGCCGGGCGCGGGGCCTGCGGGGCGCGGCCGGAGGGGAGGCCGCGATGGCGAACGCGAGCGAGCCGGGCGGCGTTGGCGGCGGCGGCGGGGCCGAGGCGGCCGCGCTGGGCCTCAAGCTGGCCGCGCTCAGCCTGCTGCTGTGCGTGAGCCTGGCGGGCAACGTGCTGTTCGCGCTGCTCATCGTGCGGGAGCGCAGCCTGCACCGCGCGCCCTACTACCTGCTGCTCGACCTGTGCCTGGCCGACGGGCTGCGCGCGCTCGCCTGCCTGCCGGCCGTCATGCTGGCCGCGCGCAGGGCCGCGGCCGCCGCGGGGGCGCCGCCGGGCGCGCTGGGCTGCAAGCTGCTCGCCTTCCTGGCCGCGCTCTTCTGCTTCCACGCCGCCTTCCTGCTGCTCGGCGTGGGCGTCACCCGCTACCTGGCCATCGCGCACCACCGCTTCTACGCCGAGCGCCTGGCCGGCTGGCCGTGCGCCGCCATGCTGGTGTGCGCCGCCTGGGCGCTGGCGCTGGCCGCGGCCTTCCCGCCCGTGCTGGACGGCGGCGGCGACGGCGACGAGGACGCCCCGTGCGCGCTGGAGCAGCGGCCCGACGGCGCCCCGGGCGCGCTCGGCTTCCTGCTGCTGCTGGCCGCCGTGGTGGGCGCCACGCACCTGGTCTACCTGCGCCTGCTCTTCTTCATCCACGACCGGCGCAAGATGCGGCCCGCGCGCCTCGTGCCCGCCGTCAGCCACGACTGGACCTTCCACGGGCCCGGCGCCACCGGCCAGGCGGCCGCCAACTGGACGGCGGGCTTCGGCCGCGGGCCCACGCCGCCCGCGCTCGTGGGCATCCGGCCCGCGGGGCCCGGGCGCGGCGCGCGCCGCCTGCTCGTGCTGGAGGAGTTCAAGACGGAGAAGCGGCTGTGCAAGATGTTCTACGCCGTCACGCTGCTCTTCCTGCTGCTCTGGGGGCCCTACGTGGTGGCCAGCTACCTGCGCGTCCTGGTGCGGCCCGGCGCCGTGCCCCAGGCCTACCTGACGGCCTCCGTGTGGCTGACCTTCGCGCAGGCCGGCATCAACCCCGTCGTGTGCTTCCTCTTCAACCGGGAGCTGAGGGGCTGCTTCAGGGCGCAGTTCCCCTGCTGCCAGGGCCCGCGGACCGCCCCGGCCACCCAGCCCTGCGACCTGAAAGGCCTCGGCCTCTGAGCGCCCCGGCCTAGCGCCGCCACCTCCCGCGCGCGGCCTGGCCCTGCGGCCTGGACAGTCAGTGACGCCGCCGGTTCCTGCCCTTCCGCCCCCCCTTCCAGTTCCCCAAGCTGCCTTCGAAGTGACTCTCAACGGGGACAGACACCTGGCCCGCACGCACCCCCCTGTGCGCCCTGGGCAGGGGTGGGGCGCAGGGGGTGCGGCCCACCCCGCCCCCGGCGGCACCCTCGCCCTCCTAGACGCGCCTCCTTCCTCCTGACAATAGGCCCTGCAGTCCTTTTGTACTGGTTCTGACAGTCTTTTATTCCATGTGTGATTACTTTTTTCTTTTTCTATAAAGGTTCAACTGATTTTCCTCATGCAGCGTTTCCTAAAGACCATGGCCAGTTTTCTACAGAAGCTATTTTTGACAACCTCAAGTGGCATTACATTTTGCAGTGAAGCAGAGGGACCAGGGGGTGGGGTGGGGGACTTCACAAGTCAGATTTCTTGAGGGCCTTCTGTTGGAAGCAGGAGAAATGGGGGTTGGAGGAGGGGTGGCGGGGAGTTGTCTTAAATCCCCTCCGGAGAACGGCCAGCTGCGGGGTCGGCTGTGCGCGCGCCGGTTCTCTGGAAGGGTCGAGAACTTTGTGCAGGGTGGATAATGAACTTGAGCAGCGATGGAGACCAGTAGCAAGGCAGTCACTTTTAAAAGCAGGAACAAGTGAGATTTGGCCGCTAGTTTGCTCTGCACTCTCAGAAAAACACACAGTGACAACTGCTCTCTGTGTCATGCCAGTCTCGAATGGAAACATTTCTGTAAAGTTGTGACTTTTCAAAGAGTAAACAGTGTTTTGGTCAGTGATGGTGTGGAGAAAATTACAGTATTGCATGTGCTTGTGCGTGCCGATTGATTGTGGCTTGAGGGTTGGGAGGGCTCCGAGAAGCAGAGTACTGAGTCAGACTTGCTTAGGCATTTTTTGCCAATTAAAAAAAATTAAGATAATTTTATGGAAACGGCTTGTGCTTTGAGAAGCCCAGTTTTATTCTGTCTTATGAAACTAATTTCCACTTTGAAAATTGTTCTGTTGTTCATGGTATAAATGAATGGAATATGATGATACCCTTATTTCTAGAAGACAAAGCATTCCCTTAAAATGTTTGCTAGGATAAGCTGTGCTGTTCTACTGATGGTCGTTTTAAATTAATAATGAGAACTATAATTTAAATGACATTTCTTTGTTAGACATTGTCATCTTAGACTGAAAGACTGAATTCTGCAAGTACTATATGATATTTTTTGCTTATAATGCTACATTTTTATTAATGTACCTTCCGTTTTGAGGATTTATATCTGTATTTCTCTTTGCATTATACAAATATACCAGTATTTTCATTCTGGAGCGAGTATGCTGTTGTTTGAGGCAGTGACTGGTACTAACGTATGTCTGAGTATGTTACTCATGTTCTTTTTACCTTTTAGTGCGTGCTATTTAGTCCTGGGTTTCATAGTTTGATCATCAGTATACCCAAGACATTTGGAGTGGGTTTTTTTTTTTTTTAACTTAAAATGCAAGATAAAAATCTTCAAATCTTCTCTTTAAAGGGAAGCAATAGACATATAAGCCACTTTAAAATTCTTTTTATTTGTGTGACAGAATTTCAGTTACTATATATTAAATGACATAAGAAACGTTTTAAAACAGAAAATATGACTCTAAGCAAAGTAACCATTTTGCTAAAAATAAATACAAAGTGGGTGCAGTAGCTATACTGAGTTTTAGTTAAGTATGATATTAAACTATTTAAATGTTCAGTCCAAAAGGGCTAAGTAGTAAGAGAGTGTGGCCAATCTATCTCCGGTAAGTGGGAAGCATTATTTTATTTTGTTTGTGAAAGTTAATCATTCTGTGAAGCCAGTCTCATGTTTGGAAAGGATGAATAACAATAACCCCATTTCTTCCCGTGTCCTAAGTCCAAGTAGACCTTAATATTCCATGGGCTAGGGCCGGGGCGCAGTGGCTCATGCCTGTAATCCTAGCACACTGGGAGGCCGAGGTGGGAGTATCGCTCAAGGTCAGGAGTTCCAAACCAGCCTGAGCAAGAGTGAGACCCCGTCTCTACTAAAAATAGAAAGAAATTAATTGGCCAACTAATATATATAGAAAAAATTAGCCGAACATGGTGGCGCATGCCTGTAGTCCCAGCTACTTGGGAGGCTGAGGCAGGAGGATCGCTTGAGCCCAGGAGATTGAGGTTGCTGTGAGCGAGGCTGACGCCATGGCACTCCAGCCCAGGCAACAGAGTGAGACTCTGTTTAAAAAAAAAAAAAAATCCAGGGGCTACTCATCAGAAACCTCAGCCAACCCAGAGACTCAGAGGCCCAGGAAATAAATCTCTCCTCATCGAACCTTCCGAGGGATCCACCTCTATTTATTCCAGGAAACAGAGGTCAGCAAGCCTGTGTGCTATGCAGAACATGTCACACCTCGTGTGGCCACAGGAAGCCAGGCCCTCACGGCCAACTCCTGAGCCACCTGGCTGCAACAGAGACGCCCTGTTGACCCTACATAGCTTTCAATTCAGGGAATATTTTTTCCTAGGAGAATGGATAAGCCAGAGGTTCTTCAATGCTAACATTCATGCAAACTACCTTAAGTGCTGACGTGGTCCAGAGAGTCTTGCTAGGAGTTGCTCACTGAGACCTGGGAGAAAGCATTTTTAACAAGCTCCTTGGATGATGGGGGACTCACCTCCGGGTCTTTCTTTGGACATGAATTGAATTTAGATGCATTGTGTACAAACTCGGTTACCTGAGTTTTTTTTTTTTTTTTGTATTTATGTTTCTAAATTCCGATTAGGTGGGAGAAGGCGAAATTTCTAGTGACACAATTATTTCTGCCAAGAAATTTCAGGTGAGAATGGCAAGAGATAACAGCCAACCCCAAAGATGAAAGAATGAACTGAGAGAGAGAGATAAGCCGTTTAGGAGAAAGTATTGGGTAGGGCCAAAGAGCACCTCCAAGCTCAATGGGTCAATGACTCTATTAACATGCAGTTTGTTAATTAATCAAAAATTATCAAGAAGAGGTTAGTTGTGTCCAGATTGCTCATTGTACCAGGAGAGGTACAGTGTATCTGGGGAAGCGTCCATTAAAATAGCTCATTTTGTTTCTTTGGGAAATTAATTTAGCACAACTAAATGAATCCTATACTTGAAGCAATAGAAAATAGATTTCTTGTACGTACATCTTTGCATGTTATGGCATCGAATTATTGGGTCAAAACCAAGCATTTTTAGGCCTCTTGATATGTCAAAAAGCTTTGCAGAGAGATTACATATATATTACTTATATATAGGTAAAATATATATAAATCTACACCTGACATATTCGTTATTTTAAAAATGTCATATTTCAAGTAAAGTGAGGAAGCACATAACAAATCAATAACAATGATAAATAATCTGTTTCCACTATTCAACCCTACTAAATCTTGTCAGTTTCGCTATATTGGTTTCTACTTTTCCTTTTCTCTTGTCCATTTCCTTTTCCTTTCTATTTTTCCTTCCTTCTTTTCTCCCTCCCTTTCTTTCTCCTTCTCCTTCCCTCCTTCCTTCCTTCCTTCCTTCCCTCTTCCTTCCCTCTTCCTTTCCTCCCTCCCTTCCTTCCTTTCTCCCTCCCTCCCTCCCTTCCTTTCTTCTTTCCTTCCTTCCTTCTTTCCTCCCTTCCTCCCTTCCTTTTTCCATTCCTCCCTCCTTATTTCCCTCCCTCCTTTTCTTCTCTCTCTCTCTCTGTCTCTCTTTAAAGAAATAAAACATGACACAATTATTTCTTCCAAGTCTCTGGTCTCGCCATCAGCCCTCTACATTCTCAAATGTCCTGCCCCCCTAAGAGATGACAAGGTCCTAGGTCCCAGGGCTGACTCATGCTTAATTTTGCAGGTGCATCATTGGGTGGCAGGGCTGGGTCCACCCCGTTTTTCCAAGGCCTACAGGATGGAGAAGAAAACTCTGAGCCTTTCACTGTCCGGCTTCTCCGCCACCCTGCACATCCTCCCTCTGTATTCTCATCTCTCCCTCTCGGGTTAATTTTACACAGCTCTCCGCTCTTCCTGGAAAGCCCAGGCCCCTATTTCTGCCTGGGAATTCCTCACCAATCCCTCGAGAGCAGGTGTAACAGTCACAATATTTAACCACTGGGATGCAAGGGCGTAACTTACCTGTACGTGCCAGGGTGCTGGCTGAACATCGGGTCCTTGCTGGACTTTTGGGAGCCCTTCTTGGTCCAGTCGTGCCTCCTCTGGGCTCCCAGGGTGTGTCGTTTGCCCTGATGAAGTCTGCTCTTTGGCACCTGGCACGCACTGTCATTGGCTCCTGGCTCCCCCTGCGGTCTAATCCCCTCCCACCCTCTTCTCAGACCCTGCACTCGGTCACTCCAAGTCGCTGGCCGTGCCCAGAACAGACCACACCGTGTCATGTCCTCATGGCTTTGCATGTGTTATTCCTTATGTCCAACCTCCCTGCTCCCCCTTTCCCATGCTTCCCCCAAAGTACCTGGACCTGCTAAGCTTCCAGACGTAAAAGAGTGAACTGGACGCAGAGGGCAAACGCCTGGCCTCTGTAGACAGGGGGAGATTGTCCCAGTGCAGACCCTGCACGGTCTCCAAAGCTCCAGACTCAATCATTAGATCCGAGTGCCATGGCTGCCTAAGCAGCAGACTTATCGTCCTACCAGCATTTTAAGCTGTCTGTGCGCATTGAGGGGGCTGGGCTTATAAATGCAGCAGAGCCAAAATATTGCTCTCTATTCACCTGTCACTCTGTGCGGGTTGCCAAGACTACTGGACTTCAGGACCCTCTCCCTCCGGGGAGAGCGAGGCAATGGGAAACCATCTCCGCCCACCCACCTCGCAGTCCCATAGCAATATCCTTTGCACAGCTTTGTAGCTGCTTCAGGAGTAAACATAACTTGATCTGACTTCGAGGGGTTTTTATGCTCTTCCTCCCACTTGGAAAAGACTTTTGAAGTCTAACTCAGCCCACAAAGGGAACTCTCTCCTCCCCCCTTCATTCATTTTGGGATATTGTTGGGTAAGGATGTGATGCTTGGAGCCACAACAGCCATTTTGCAACCATGAGGAGAGACACTGTCAACACAGTAAAGATAGCAGGACAGAAAGATAAAAAACGACAGGCACCTGTTATACCATTCTTGTGCCGCTTAACCAGAGAAGCAACCTCATCCCTTTAGACTTCCGGTTTTGAAATTCAGGAAGCAAAAAAAAAAAAATAAAAAAATAAAAAAAATAAACAATAAAAAAAATATTCAGGAAGCCTGTTACTTGAAGCAACAGATAAGTGCAACAATACCTAAAATCACTCCGTCCCCCCCACCCCTTGAATAGGTATGTTTGATATCCTGGGCCTGTCTTCACAAGTTTGTGAAAATCAGACTTATTTAATTCATTTGTTCCGACTATCAGACTACTCTGCCTGTTGCTAACTGTGAAATTAACCTGGCTCTAGCAAAATAATGAGATCGGTTTGACATAGTTTCTCAGGTTGAAATAAGTCCGGCTGATTCCAAAAAAAAAAAAAATACCTATTACTAGGCCAGCTCTGTTTAATTGCATTTTACAATATCCTTTTGATCAGCGTACATTTAAACTTTTTAGATATCATCAACCTAATCAGAGGCGTCTAGGAAACCACCTGAAGCGTCCATCCAATGAGGAGATATTGAACACTAACAAGGAGACGGTGTCTGTGTTGGGCAATGCAGACAGACACAGGGATAAGGAAAACATAGTTCTCTTGCTAACGGGTTAGCAAGCGGGTTGGGGAAACTTGGCACATACGCCCCAAACCATAAAGCAAGGCAGAACATCATAGATGCCAAGAGACGGGTCTATGCAAAGAGCTCGGGGATACTGAGGAGGCCAGACACCAAAATAGACTGTCTACAAAAGGTCCTGGGCCTTATATCTCTGATTACCCAGTTGAGGAAAGAAGGAAACCCAGGAAGACTGGAACCAAAATGGGCCAGGTTCCACCGTCTCCCTCCCTGCCAGGTTCTCATATTTCTTTCTAGCTCCTTCTGCACTCTCCACGCCCCGGAGTGCATTTCTCAAATCCATTTCTCTAAGTGAAACAAACCCACATAATTGCCTCTTCAAAGTTTTCGGTTCCAGTTCTACCCAAGCGCTCAAGAGCCAGCGAGGAATGTGGTCATCTTAACAGAGGAAGTTTATTTTACACAAAATCTTGCTGTTGCGAGAAGAGCCAGCAGAGATGCTGTTGATGAGTGATGTCGGGACTGGACAGAAATCACAAGTAGCCGGCCCTGCAAAGGATCGCCCCAGCCCTGCAAAGGATCGCCCCGGCCCTGCAAAGGATCGCCCC